GTCTAACCACTCCCTTCTTACTGTTCACTAGGATACAAGCTCCATGAGGATATGCATTTTGTCTCCTTGTCCACTACTATATCCTTAGTTTAAAAGACTACCTGGGTACATAATAGGCCCTCATTAAATTGAATGAATGAATGTAATGTCAGCAAGAAATCCGTATGTATAACTTGGGAGAAGAAACAGAGTCCCAGGGGTGTAAGGCTGAGACTGTTGGGTAAGATCTATGCAGACCAGAGCTGCAGAGCTGGCCGAGCTTAAAAAATAAGCACACTGGTATACTGGTACAGTTATCTTAAGAGAAGAAAATGAAATCCTGCTGACAGCCGCAGAAAAACCTCAGGTGACTTACACCATTAGGCACTGAAGCCAAGGACCAAATCAACCAAGCAAACCACCACCACGAGTGCTCAGCTCCTGGAAGGAGCTGCAACAGCCACAAATGCATCTGCTCCTTTAATGTAGTCAGTCCACCCAACATACCACTGGGGACCAGGGGAAAGGGAAGGACACGCACACTGACTGAGACCCTGCTATTTCCCAGGCCGATAGGTGTTTTTCCTTCATCAACCCCTCTAATCCCCAGAAAAACCCTGAGTTGAGTGTTATCTCTATTTCATATGGAAACTGGAGATTTAAGAGTGTTTCAGTAACCAATCAAGAAACAGGAATGTGTTACAAGCTAGAAATAGAAATAGATACAATACAATGTCATCCAGGCTGGCTGGGCAGGGACAACATACAGATCAGTCCTGTTAATCCTGCCCTCAGGCCTGACTGATGCAGCTAAGTGACAGCCAACAGACCCACTAGCTATGGGGTCTTAATAAGCCTCTGGATCTCTTTGAACCTAACTTCCCTTTTTATAAGAGATTTGTAAGAGATCATTTAACCTCTTTCCTAATACTACCTGAAAGCTCTAACAGGAACACATCTGAATCACTGCTGTAGGTGTTATAAGAAAATCCACAGCCCATAGATTTTTGGCATTCTATGCTATGCTGGAGAAAACAAACTGGAAGACCCTGCCTGTTTAACAGTTTACAGTGTAAGTCAACCAAGGCAGATGCAGGTTCACCTAGCCTTGCCTGCCACTCAACATCAGTTCCCAAACCTTTGCTTTTGGGAACTTGGTCTCCTGCTCACTGAATTCCCAGAGCACCATTCCCAGTGACCCACAGAATCCTCCCTACTGCATACACTCCAGTTCCCAGACAAACATAACTTTCTTGTTGTTCTTAGTAACAAACAAAAGCCAAGTTAAAATACAAACAGACAAAAACCTAAGAAGTTGATCCTGAATTCCCATTAATTTCCATGAGCTTCAGTAAAGTGGTCATGTTTATGGCTGTTTTATCCTATTGGCATTGTGAGGTAAGGAGTCCAGTTAATTGCAGAAAATTCTTCTTTTCATCTAAAACATACCAAATGGCTAAAAATTCCAACCCATGTCCACATCATCTCATTAGATATTCTTTTTTCCAACACCACAAATGAGAGGCAATGATAGTGCATTATTAGTTCACCTGGCAGATTCTCTAACAGTGAAGTAAATGACTTCATCACAGTAAAAACTGTGCTAACAGGACTAAAGAGATATAGTTGCTAAAATGTTCAAGAAGGAACTCAGAACCAGGTCAACTTTGTGAACACTGTCCAATGACAAAACAGAGTAAGAAAATCCAATTTGGTTCTTGGAAAACTTTATATTAGAATTCATTTCTACCTCATGAGACTACTGAAATTCGTAAGTCTGCTAACTGGAAGACAATGGTATGCAATGAAACATGTATATTACTGCTTTTTGTTTTGGAAGACCATGCTACAAATGTTTCTATCATATGTGCTTAAGAGTGGCTGGGGAGGTCATTCTGTGACCAAAGAAGACTGATGATTCATGACTGCATCTGCTATTTTGAAGCTGATCTTGCTATTTTGCCAGGTACAATCCCAAAGCAGCTTTTTCCCTTACTCAGAATATTCTTAGAACACTATTTTTGCTAAAGAATTCAGTGAAAGTTCTAAGTAAAAACAGTAAGTAGTACAACTATTAACGTTTCCCCTCCACAGTCAACCCTGATTTCTTTCTGTGAAACATGACGTTTACATCTCCAAATTTTCCACTGGTGAAAAATTCTTCATGCTTCTTAATTTTGCATTTTTTCATAAACTTTAGGGTCAAGCGCCGCTTGGTATATGTCTGTAGGCTGAGGACACTGAACAAGCTTTCCTTCACTGGTGTCAAAGTCTTGAGCACTTATTGAAGATTCTCCTGCATGTGCTACAGGTGGGTTCTCCGGTGTTTAATAAGGTGGGAATTTTGACTGAATTTTTTTCCACATTGATGACATGTAAAGGGCTTCTCTCCAGTGTGAGTTCTTTGGTGTGTGTGGAGATGTGAATTTTGACTGAAGCTTTTCCCACACCATGAGCATTTATATGGCTTTACTCCTTGGTGTGTTGTTAAGTGCTTATTGAGATCTGACCTCCATCTAAACCTCTTATCACACTGTTCACATTTATATGGTTTCTCTTCAGTGTGAATTCTTTGGTGCTTAATAAGGTCAGAACTAACTCTGAAGCTTTTCCCACATTCCTGACATTTAAAAGGCTTCTCTCCTGCACGTTCTTTCTCATGAAGCTCGATAAGTTTCAGCAGCTCTTCTTCCCACCAGTTTGAAAATTTAATTCCTTCCTTCACTGGAAAATCTTGGTGCCATTTCCCCACCCTATGCGTATCACCATGATTTTCTTTGCCCATTGTTTTCTGATGAACATTCACACTGGCTTTTTTTGATACTATGTCTCCTGGTGCTTGTATTTCTAAGTCAGAAAAACATATAGGTTGATGATTTTCAGTGTCATTTTTCATCTTTATCTCTGTTGGAATAAACATAAGAATCAGCCAATTGTATGTCAGAGCAAGAAAACCATGGGAATAGAAAAAAACGCAATATTCACTGATTTTAAAAAAATAGGGAAGTAGAATCTTAAAATGTTAAGCCCTTGTAAAGGTTCCTACCAAGGCACATTTCTCCTCTTCCCATGGTATATTTACCTGAAAACAGCTCTTTGGGACTGTCTTTGAATATTGGGGGTCCTTGAACCCATGGCTCTTCCCCTTGCTCTAGGCAGCAGATCACTTTAGTTTTGGGGAGCACAAATAATGCTGTGAAATAAAAAACTGAAGTCAGTGACTGGAACTAACAATGGTTCACTAATTCCAGACTACTTCAGGAAGTGCAAAAGATACTTTAACAGTTTCTTATCCTGAATGGTTAAATGGAGTGTCTCATATCCAATATTAAGTTTACACTATACTGCATTTGTGAGTGGGTATGTAAAGACTGGGAAATAAATCTAAGCTAGATCTATGAAAAGGGTATGTGAATTCATTGCGTGTTCCCCATCTTCTGAAACCAATACTCCATATTCAACTAAGCTGTAACCAAACTCCAGAGGCTACAGGAAATACAGGCTGGTCCTATTACCTCTTTAGGAAGACTCATACTGGATAAGGCCAGGTCTAGGGGAGTCAATGTGAAGGTCAATGGGCTGGGTATCATAAATACAAGTGATTCCTGTTATATTATAGCAAGTTTCAATTGAGTTCTCAGGTACCAGACACTGGACCAGGAAAGATTTCTACTACTCCTATAGCTCACTGGTTCACATCCAGGTGGAGGAAACAGACCAGAATTACTTAGTGGACTTTCTTTAAATCATATTGCCAAGTATGGAAAGCATTCATCACTCAGTCATTCAATACATATGTGCTGAGTGGCTATGGTGCACCAGGCACCCTCTATGTGCTAGGGATACAGTGGTGAATAAGCCAAGCCCCTTGATCTCAGAGAGCTTATCTTCTAGCGCAGAGTGAGACAGTCTAATGTCAATAAACACGCAAATAAAATATCAGGAAGTGATAAACGTTTTGAAGAAAACTAGAGCAGGGTGAGAGAACACTTAAGATTCTGCTTCTGTGAAGGTATTTTAAATAAGGCTATGTGAAAAGCCTCTCTTAGTGATATTTGAAGGACTTCCTTGGTGGTCCAGTGGTTAAGACCCATGCTCCCAATGCAGTGGGTCCGGGTTCGATCCGTGGTTGGGGAGCTAAGATGCTGCAACTAAGAGTTCGCATGCTGCAACTAAAAATCCCGCATGCTGCAACTAAAGATCCAGAGTGCCAAACTAAGACCCTGCACAGCCACATAAATATATATTTTAAAAAAAAGGAAAAAAAGTGATATTTTGAGCAGAACCCTAAACTGAGAGTTTTGTCATATGGCAGAAAAGTGTGCCAGGCACAGGGAAGGAGAAAGAAATGAGCACACCAAGCCCATGAAACAACAAGATGAGCAGTGTGAATAAAGAGGCCAGAGCAAGGGCACGAGTGGCAGGAGACGACAGCAGGGAGATGAGGAGGGGCCAGATCGTGGAGGAAGCCTTGGTAAGGAATTTGGTTCTTATATTGAATGTGATGAGAAGTTATCATAAGGTTTTTAAGCAGAAAATGTCATCATCTGATTAGGTTTGGTTTTTTTGGCCACACCCTGCAGCTTCCAGGATCTTACTTCCCCAACCAGGGATTGAACCTACACCCTTCACACTGAAAGTGCAGAGTCCTAACCACTAGACCACCAGGGAATTCCCCGTGATTAGGGGTGTTTTTTTTTTTTTAAATACCTTTATTTTATTTATTTATTTTTGGCTGTGTTGGGTATTCGTTGCTGTACGCGGGCTTTCTCTAGTTGCAGTGAGCAAGTGGGGGCTACTCTTTGTTGCAGTGTGTGGGCTTCTCATTGTTATGTCTTCCCTTGTTGCAGAGCACAGGCTCTAGACAAGTGCGCTTCAGTAGTTGTGGTACACAGGCTCAGTAGTTGTGGCGCACGGGCTGAGTTGCTCTGCAGCATGTGGGAACTTCCTGGAGCAGGGCTCAAACTCGTGTCCCCTGCATTGGCAGGCAGATTCTTAACCACTGCGCCACCAGGGAAGCCCCCCATGATTAGGTTTTTAAAAGACTCTGGCTGCTGTGTGGAAAACTGATTGTGGGAGGGCAGGAGTGGTGGCAGTTAGAAAGTATTGAGTGAACCTTGTGGCTGAGACAAGGATGGTAACAGCACAAGAGGCTGAGACATGATCTGATTCAAGCTACACTGTGAGGGTGGAGCCAAGCTGATTAGCGATGACCTAGTAGTGGGGTAGGATGGCAAGATCACAGTAAAGAATGATCCATAGGTTTTCTGGCCTGAAATACTGGGTGAATGGTAGTGTCCTTTAGGGAGACAGGAAAGAGAAGAGCAAAGCAAATTTGGAAGGAAGGGAACAAAAATTCTGGATAAGGAATGAGCATGTGAACTTGGCAAAAGCTCCCAGGTAAACTGGTTACACCTTTTCCCTGCCGAACCACTATCTGAGAATCAAAAAGCAACTGGTAAATATATCTGTGTATATAAAAAAGAAAAAAAAAAAAGCAACTGGAAAAGAGACTCTCTCACAGAGAAAGCCAAGAATATGACAGATTACTCAACTCCTATGCAAAGGGAAGGGCAAAGAACTTCCCTGGTGGTTTAGTAGTCAAGAATCCACCTTCCAATGCAGCAGACGGGGGTTCAACCCCTGGTCAGGGAACTAAAATCCCACATGCCGCGGGGCAATGAAGCCTGCGCCACAACTACAGAGCCCGCGCGCTCTAGAGCCTGTGTGCCACAACTAGAGAGAAGCCCACGTGCCGCAACGAAACATCTCGCATGCCACATCGAAGATCTCGCATGCCACAACTAAGGTCTGACGCAGCCAAATAAATAATTTTTTTAAAAAAAGATTCAGGACTTCCCTGGTGGCGTAGTGGTTAAGAATCCGCCTGCCAGTGCAGGGGACACAAGTTTGAGCCCTGGTCCGGGAAGATCCCATATGCCGCGGAGCAACTAAGCCCATGTGCCACAACTACTAAGCCTGCACTCTAGAGCCCACGAGCCACAATTGCTGAAGCCCACGTGCCTAGAGCCTGTGCTCTGCAATGAGAAGCCACTGCAATGAGAAGCCCATGCACCACAACAAAGAATAGCCCCTGCTCGCCGCAACTAGAGAAAGCCCGCGTGCAGCAACGAAGACCCAACACAGCCAAAAAGATAAATTAAAAAAATTTAAAAAAAAAAGATTCAATGAAGGGAAGGGGAGTATCTTTACCTAGAGAGATGACAGTCTCATAGTTTTCTTGCATTACATCATTGTAGAGGGCCTTCTGAGTAGGATCCAGTAACTCCCATTCTTCCTGGGAAAAATATATGGCCACTTCTTCAAATGTCAACAAGCTCTAAAAAGAGAATACGCTTTAGCTAAGTATTTGCCACTTCAAAAGCAGCCCAACCATCTGACCCATGATTTGTATGTTAGGCCAGGAACTAAAGGAACAGTACATGATACTTTTTAAAGTGAGGAGGCAGAAATGGAAGAGGCAAGGGATCAGCAAACAGTCTGGGAGGTGTCCAGTTCCCCAGCAGGATCATCTGGGTTAACACGCCTCTAACCACGTGCTGGGCAGTGTAGGTCAAGGGCAGCAGGGAGAGGCAGCCCTAAGAAGCTGGAAAGCACAGCTCACCTGGGACTCAGGCAAGATGAGCTCAGGTGCCACTGGCCAGTCTTTGGTGTTTGTCTGTTCAGGAAAGGCTAGGATCCGGTGAGCAGGCACTGCTGTGGGTGAAAGATAGCAGAGGTAATTTCTCTCGCTTCTGTTTCTGAACGTGGTAGGCTCTTTTCTAAAATACAGAAGACCCCGATTTTTTTAGTATTGATGAGATACCTTTACAAGTACGTGTGCTGGACTTCCCTGGTGGCGCAGTGGTTAAGAATCCGCCTGCCAATGCAGGGGACATGGGTTTAAGCCCTCGTCCAGGAAGATCCTACATGCCATGGAGCAACTAAGCCCGTGCACCCCAGATACTGAGCCTGTGCTCTAGAGCCCAAGAGCCACAACTACTGAAGCCCGCGCACCCAGAGCCCATGCTCTGCAACAAGAAAAGCCACCACAATGAGAAGCCCACGCACCACAAGGAAGCCACCACAATGAGAAGCCACCTCAATGAGAAGCCCACGCACCACCTCGCTCACCGCAACTAGAGAAAGCCCACGTGCAGCAACGAAGACCCAACACAGCCAAAAATAAATAAATACATAAATTTATTTATTAAAAAAAAAAGTGTGTGTGTTCAGAAATGCCTCTCTCATTATAAATGAAAACCATGGAACTACCAGCCTCTAAAACAGGTTCCCTAGTTTTCATGAGCAAATTAATGAAACGAAAAAAATTTTTATTACCTTCTCATGACATAAATTGAAAACAAAATACTCAGGGAATCCAGTGTACAGTAAGAGATGTAGTTTTTTTCTTTTTTTATCATTTATTACTTTTTTTCTGGTACAAATAGTGTTCACATTCTGCCACTAACCACCCATTCTGATCACAATTCCTTCCATATTTTCAGCATGAGGTGAGACTGACCCTCTCTGCTTTTCTAAAAACAGAGTTCCTGATGTTATTACCAGGGTTCTGTGGTTTGGAGATTTCTGAATCTTAGGCCAACCCCCACCTTCAACCACACCTGGTCTGCTCTACCATAATCTGGGGGGCATCCTAATTGCTAACGTGGCTACATTAGTAGATCCACAGGGCAAGAAAGAAAATGGTAACAACATTCTGGCTTAACAAATTACTATCCCAGCTCCCAGGAGAAGGCAAGTAACGTGAAGCTCCTTACCCCTCTCACATACGGGCTCAGTTTCTTTGTGGGTATTCCTGATCAGCAGCTCTTGTAGACTCTGGTGTGTATTCCAAAATTCTTCATCCTGGGACATGCCCACTTGCTGGGCCTCTGCTGGCTTCAGCTTGAAGCCTAGGGCCTCTGCTGTCTCTCCCAAGAGCACTGCCTCCTTTCCCAGCTCATGGTCTGCAACCTAGAAATAATGCCCATCCTTGTTACCATGGAACTTACTTTTCGTTTGGGAGTTTTGGGAGAGGGAGGAAAAAGCAGAGTGCAAACTGTGGGAAGAAGGAGACACTAAAGGAAATGTCACAAAGACTTAAGAGAGATACGGGACCACCAATTTCCCACAAGAACTATACACAAAATATAGGAAAATTGGCAGAAGAGGAAAAAAGGTGTGGTTACTGTCAGCCCTCCAAGACAGCAGCCCCCACCCTCTGCATCCAGCCCAGCTCAGACCACTAACAGGGCTGCACAGGCCACCTGTTCTCATGCTGCCTTGACAGACTTTCTCTCCCAACTTAGATTCTTGCCTTAGTGGTTTCCTGTCCTCTAACTCTCTCAAAAGATTAAGGAATTGAATTTAAAAGTTGTCCTGTCGGGCTTCCCTGGTGGCGCAGTGGTTGAGAGTCCGCCTGCTGATGCAGGGGACATGGGTTCGTGCCCCGGTCCGGGAAGATCCCACATGCTGCGGAGCGGCTGGGCCTGTGAGCCATGGCCGCTGAGCCTGCATGTCCAGAGCCTGTGCTCCACAACTGGAGAGGCCACAACAGTGAGAGGCCCGTGTACGCCAAAAAAAAAAAAAAAAAAAAAAGTTGTCCTGTCAACCAGATTTTCCACATGGCCAGGGAAGAGTCTCACAGAGGATTGGGATGAAATGGAGAAAAAAGTGGGAGGAAAGAGTCAAGGCTCCAACCTATCCCCAAATGATTTTGACACAAAACGTGTGCCCTCCCGGTATTCTCAGTAGGCCTGTGAAGCTAGCTGGTATGCTGCCACCTGCCCAAGGGCATGCCCTGGATCCCCGCTCACAGCACAGCCAAGGAACAACCACTGAGGGAGGGCAGTGGAGGCCCTTGTCTACGGTACAGAGAACACTATCCCTCACGCTCTTTCTTCTCTCAGCTACTCTGTTGGGATTTCCAAATCTTTCTTTCCCTGTTTTCTTTCTACTTTTTCTCTTCCTGGGCAGTCTTCCTCTAGTTGTTTGGTTTCTCCTTCTCTTTCCTATCTTCACTCTCCTTTGGTCTCTGAGAATTACTGCTTTTTGGATCTGTCCCTTCCTCTCCAACTCCTTATTGCCTTTTGTTTGTTTCTAAGAACTT